GTGAGAAAAAACTGGGTACACTTTATATCACCAGTGTACAGTATAAAAACTTTACTCGTGTAACTAATCGGTCCAGAAAATTGTTTCAGTATCTTACAGGAAATTGGTCAGAAAACTTCAGTGAGACACTCAGAAAATTGAGAGCAGCTGTGGTGAACATCAACTCGACGCGCGTGGATCTGTCCCTGACTGAGGGACTGTCCTCCTGGATTTCTCCAGCTTTCTTTTTTTTTCTTTTTCTTTCCTTTTTTTTTTAAGTGGGTGGGAGTAGGCCTGTTTGGTATGCCCTATGTTGCGGATTAGTATTCATTTTTTGGTTGGCTTGCAAACTCAGAGCTCAACAAAATCTTGACAAGGCTATTATTGGCCAGACGCTTGTGACCAAAGTACTAGGGGCTTCCCCTGCAGTGTGGTTATCACTGCCTCAATTATAAGCAGTCTCCCCCTCGCGAGTGGTGGTGCTAAATGTTAGGCCATCAGCGTTACACCCCAAAAGATTTGCCCATTACACTGGGTCGGTGAGGAGTCTTGGCCTGGCTGGTCCTTGTCTGTGTAGCTGTGGTACCTAAATTTTGAGACAAACAGCCCTTGCACCCCTAGGAGATGACTCCATTGCACAGGGATGGGTGTTTGCATCTCTTTCTGTTCCCCTTAGCCCTTGCACCCAGAGGACTTGTTTCCATTGCACCTGGTAGGGTAAGGGAGACTGTCTTAAACTATTAGTCCTTGATCGCTTATTCCCCCAAGATAGAATTTGCTTGATCGGGCTTGAGTTTGAGTCATAACTGGTACCATGCCAGACAGGCCAAGAACAGCCAGATAGACAACTCCATCTTTTTGTCTCCAGGACAGCTGCCATTGGTCCCAATGATGGGAATTAGGCTGACGCCACATGCCAGATTTACACCATGAAGACAACTGAGGAATTGATGACAAGCCAACCCCATGACGGGATTAGCGAGTGGCAATGACCCGGGCGCGGGTATATCCCTCGTAGCCTAAGACAGGGTGGCTTGCCTTTCCTTGGTGTTAGCCCTATTGGTGCTGGGCGTAGAGAAACGTCAGCTAGCCTGGGGACATTGACTGGGACATTGACCAGTGCCTGTTTAACAAAACAAAAGGAGATAGCCAATAGACAGATTCCTGAGCCGCTGTACCCAAAGGCTTCTACCCCCAAATATGGGAGTTACGTAACCTTCCCAGGGACCTCTACCACCCTCTGTTTTAAAACAAAAAAGGGGCAGATGTAGGGAGCCGCGGCGGGTGCTGGCAAAGTCCGCCATTGCTAGGTGGCGCTATCAGCCATAATTCTTCCTAGTAAACAAGTAAATTGCGCATGTGCCATGGTAAAAGCCAGCCAAAGTTAAAGCCCATCCCACAGCATTTGGCGCGCAACGAGTAAGCAGCCAATCAGAGGTGAATACACCGCTCTAGGGTATATAGCAGTGCTTTCCCAAGCCTGGGGGTCTTCTTCCACCATTTTGGTTTTTGGGAATAAACGTGTTCATACGGAAGGATTCCGGTGTGTGTGTGTGTGTGTTCTTGCCGGCGAGACGACTACACGCACCCCACACACAATAGTACATATCATACAGAGAGAGAGAGAGAGAGAGAGAGAGAGAGAGAGAGAGAGAGAGAGAGAGAAACAATTTGGGAGGGAAAATATTATACAACCAATACATATTCATTTTATATAAAGGATTTCTTGATCATCCAAATGTATTAGTTTAAACTTTTCTGTAATGAATCCCCTATGTAGTCAGCATATTTTCCAATTAAAATATACTAGGTTTTGTAATAAATTAAAGGTAATTTAGTAGGAAAAATTATGCAAAGTAGTCAACTAGTAGAACAGGAAGTAAAACAGGAAGTGATTAAATGTAAGGGCCATGAGTTTTTAGCACAGACTGAAGTACATGGTATATAGTTTTAAAAGCTTTCTGAAAGCATGAGGGGAAGAAAGCCAAAACGTCCAGGCCCTGAAGTGTTCACAGCAGAATAATGCAAGGCTTTCAAAAGAGATCAAAAAAGAATACTTCTTAACGTGTTAAAATAAAAGCAAAACAAAAACAGAAACACAAGAAGCTCTTCCAAACTCCTTTTCCAGAGCTAGTATTATTGTTGAATAGCAAAGCCAGGTAAAGACACAACAACAATCAACTACAGGCCTGATGAACATAAAGGCAAAAATCCTCAATAAAATCCTTTTAAACTGTGTATAGGCACATATCAAAAAGATTACAAGTCATGATCAAGTTGTCTTTACCCAGAGATGTGGGGCTGGTTCAACATATGTAAATCAATAAATTTAATAAATAACCTTAAAGACAAAGTTCCTACAATCATCTCAATAGATGAAGAAAAAGTCTTTGACAAAATCCAACATATCTTCATGATAAGTATCCTAGAGAAAGTAGGAGTCAAGGAAACAAATTTCAACACATAAAGACTGTATATTACATACCCACAGCCAACATCAGCCTAATGGAGAAAAATTCAAAGAAAGTTCCATTAAAATCAGAAATAAGACAGAGCTGTACACTGTCTCCACTACTTTCAAATATAGTGCTCAAAGCACTAGCTGGAACAACAGAATAAGAAAATAAAATTCAATGGATACAAACAAGAAAATTTGAATCATCCCATTTGCAGATGATATGATATTATACTTACAAGATCACAAAAACTCCATCAGAAAACTATAAATGGTCAAAAATTTTGGCAAAATGGTAGAATAACTTAACAAAACTCAGTAACAATTTCATATGTCAACAACAGCAACAACAAAAAGACACGTTGAGAAAGAGACCTCCTCGAATGAATTTCCACTCACAATAGCCTCAAAAAAATACCTAGGACTTAGCCAACTAGGGAAGGAGGGGGAAGGGAAGAAGGAGGAGGAGGAGAGAGGGAGGAGGGAGGGAGGGAAGGAAGGAAGGAGGGAGGGAGAAAGACTTCTACAGTAAAAACTTTAAATTTCTGAAGAAAGAGAATGAAGAAGAAACAGGTTGGTAGAATATTATTGTGACAATGACCATTCTACCAAAACAAGTTACAGATTTAATACAATCCAATCAAAATACACCATAGTCATCAAAGAAATGGAAAAACTCCTAATCTTTCAATGGAACTACAAAAGACACTGGATAGCTAAAGCAATCCTGCATAAAAAGGAAAATACTAATAGGATTCACATTCCAGATCTCAAGATTTATCACAGGGCTACAGGACTAAAAAGAACATGGTGCTAGCACAAATTTAAACTTGTAGGCAAAGAGAGCAAAACAGAAAATAAATGTTACATCAGCCATTGAACATTTGACAAAGATGCCAAAACTCTGCAAAAAACATGACATTTTCAGCACATAGTGCTGGGAAAACTGAATGCCTACATGGAGAAGACTAAAATTAGGCTTATGTCTATCACCCTGCAAAAAATTAACTTCAAATGAACTGACTATCTTAGCCTGAAACACTGAAACTGCTAGAAGAAAATATGGGCAGTATCCTTCCAGATTTAGGAGCAGGTAAAGATTGAACAGGACTAGGACAGCAATTAACAGGTGGAATGTCACATAAAACTAAAAACCTTCTACACAGCTAAAGATAAATCCACTGAGTGGAGAGAGGACGCCCAAAGAGAAGCAATATCATGGATGGATGGATAGATAGATAGATAGATAGATAGATAGATAGATAGATAGATAGATATTCTCTCCCTATAGGAAGTAATTTATACTTGGTAGTATTAATTTAGCTAGCTACCTGTGGCTAGTGAGGCCCTGCTACCTAGAGGAGAACTTGTTCCTGCCATTTTCCTCAACCAGCCTAATCTATAACTACTTTTGAAATACTCATCCTTCTATAAAGAGGTAAGTGTAGCTCTCACCCCTTATTTTTGGAGTAGAGAATATTACAGAAAGCCCAAACTGGTCAGAAGTCAGAAATAAACTGATAGTAGAGTTCCTGCCTCGAATCTATACATTTAGAATACAATCACTAACCTTAAAGGAACATCTTGGAACATCACAGAAAAGGGGACAAAATATTGTTAAGAAGCAGGAAAGCTGCTGTGACAGAGTCTTTTCTTTGAAAAAGCTGAGGTATGAGTGTAAGTCTGGGAGGAGTTAAAAGGAGTATGGTGAATATGATCAAGACAGAGAGACGACTGAAGGAGCTGAAGGGGTTTGTGACCCCATGAGGAGAGCAACAATACCAACCAACCAGAACTCCCAGGGTCTAAACCACCAGCCTGGGAGCACTTAGGGAAGGACTCATGACTCCAGCTGTATATGTAAGGGAGGATGGCCTTGTTGGGCATAGGTGGAAGATGAGATCCTTGACCTCATGAAGGCTGGACACCAAGTGTGGGAGAATTCGAAAGTGGGGAGGTAGGAGTGGATGGGTGGGTGGGGGCACACCCTCATAGAAATAGGAGGAGGGAAGATGTGATAAGGGATTTCTGGGGGGGGGGAAGGGGATAACATCTGAAATTTAAAAACAAATCCAGTAAAAAAGATACATTGTATCAAATTCTCTAGTAATTAATAAAATATTCATTTAAAAGTGAAAAATAAAGTGTGACATAGAAATTGGAGGAGGGAGTGAATCAAGGAAGAAAGAAAAATGAAGAAAGTGGTCATAAATGGAGAACAAAATACAGTAAATTTAGTAAGGAAGAGGATGAACATTTCTAAGACCAATAAAAGTAAAAACTTCTGTGCTGATATTCTTGACATATACTGTTAAGCATGAACATGAACTGTTTTTATTCTTTGAGCTTCTAATTTTATGACCAAAGTTCTCCACATTCACTTCGGCACTTTGGGCATTTGATATATATATCATATATATATATGATATATATATGTATATATATATGTATGTGTACATATATGTATGTGTATATATTTGTGTATATGTATGTATGTATGTATATGTATATATATATGTAACATACATTACATATATTAGAATATTCACCAACAGATAGAACTTACTGGCTCCACAATATTGAACTTCTTTGATTCCTGGACTTCCTGAATTTGATAAACATAGTCAAGAGATGATTCAAAGAAATTGTGCCTTTCCTTATCCACTTGGAGGTCTGCCTGTAGAAAGAAGGCAACAAATGTCACAGAGGGGCATGGTCAGTTTTGAAAATCAGGAACGAGAAAATCAATTAGATTCTACAACTAAAGAGGCATTGAGCCACCTGCAAATATCTTATTTCGATTTCTTTATTTTCATTTTGCTTTATTTTACAGAGAGGGGATATGAGACCAAGAAATTAAAAAGATTCAAGGCCTCCTATTTCTCGTCCAGCATGAAGGAGGCCTGGGTGCCATAAAACAGATTTTTCAGATCAAGGAAAAAGCTGAACAAATTTGGAAAAGCTTTCTTCTTAAATCCAATACCGGGCAGTGGTGGCACACGCCTTTAATCCCAGCACTTGGGAGGCAGAGGCAGGCTTATTTCTGAGTTCGAGGCCGGCCTGGTCTACAGAGTGAGTTCCAGGACAGCCAGGGCTACACAGAGAAACTCTGTCTTGAAAAACCAAAAACAAACAAACAAACAAACAAACAAAATCCAATAGAAAATTAAAATCATAGGGGGAAACTAGAGTATAAAAGACTGGAGAGAAGCAGAGCTCATAAGAACAGCTACCTGAGAGTAAAGGGTGCTCAACGCTGAGGGCATCACAACCATCACTGAAGAACTACTGCTGGTGTAAGAATAAATTGCTTAACAAATACAAAGAGAAAACAAAGGATCCAAAGGAGCTACATCAAGAGCAAATGAATCCCAAGCTAAGTCCTAAGCAAACAAGCATGAAACCTCACACTAAGCACTTACTTCAGTTTCTTTAGCCAAATATTCTCCCCGCCTTTTAAGCAGAAAAGCAAAAAGGCAAAAAAAAAAAAAAACCCTGAAGGTAGACACTGTATAGAATGATAAGGCCATGAATTTTAAACAACCATGGTAAAATGCAAAGGGTTCTAGTGGAAAAAGAGAACATGCAACAACAGATATGTGATATTAGAAGACAGATGAAACTTGGAAGCATGAGTCCAACGGAAATGACAGAAATCTAAAACAATCTAAACAGAAACGAAGCCTGCTCTATTGGGCTCACCACCAGTATGAACAAGGTTGAGAAAAAAATGAGTAAGCCTAGAGCTGAGCATGTATGGGCCCCTTGACTAAGAGTCCTGACAATGGGAGACAGGGGGATCAGCAAGCTTGAATGTACAGGAATACAAAGGTCAAAACAAAGAGAAAAAAACAACATAAAATAAAACAGCTGAGAACTTCTAGACAAAATGTGTAGCATATGTGTACTTGGATAACAAGAACTGGAAGAAACTGAATGGAACGGAGAAACATTTTCAATGACAATAACATGCTCTGCAAAATTAACCAGCTACACAGCTCCTGTATACACCAAAGGACTATAAGTCAGCAAACTAGAGAAACACTTGCACATTCATGTTTATTATTATACTGTTCATAATAGCCATGATATGGAATCAGCCTAGATGTTCACCAACAGATGGGCAGATTTTAAAAATGAGGGGCATAAACACAGTTAGCACTAAAGAGAAACAAAGTTATGCCATTTTCAGAGTTAGAAATCATCAGGTTTAGTGAAGTAAGGAAAAGCTTGGAAAACAATACCACATCACTCTTCTCAACTAGAATTTGGACTTAATTTATGTGTATTGTGGTTTTGCAAGACAGAGAAGGAGAAAAGCACTAGGAGTGAACAGGATGTCTAAGGGGCAGGGAGAGAACAAGAAGGGATCAGGGAATGTGTGTTATGAAAGCTGAAGTGGGCACTAGTGGAGAAGGAAGAGTATCAGGAAGAGGAGGATAGAGTATGGGCTAGAGCAAATAAGAAAATAATGACATACATGCATAAAAATGTCACACTAAAATACATTTATTTGTATACTAAATTTTTCACTATCCACATAATTATGTCAGTTTTGTTCAAGTAACTTTTTTTGAGATTTCATAGATGCCATTTCCCTCATCAAATCTGGTGGACACTATTTTAAAACTCTTAGAAGATAATGTCAGAGAAAATCTGGCCACACATGATGATAATAACACCTACTTAAGAATTCAAACAGCAAAACACAAGACTGAGATCACCGTGAGCTGGTACCAAACAGGATGAGGGAGCAGAAAATCCACATGACTTTAGATTAACAGGACTTTTAAATATATATCAAAAGCATGATTTATTGAAAATATAGATATGCAAATTTTCATTAAACAAAAAAAAAATCTGCTATACCAAAGGCCCTGATAACAGAATAACATAGGCTTACAATGCAACCCAACTTTTGTACTCTACAGCATTTGCCAAAAGAACCTCAACAAAATCTGCATACAAATATTTTCCATGGCCACATTAATAACTGAAAAAATCAGAAGAAAAATTCTTCCATAGGACATGGGGATACATATGTGGTACAGCTATTAATAACAGGCCTGAAAAGAAATGGGCTATCATAATAAAAAAAATACCAACAATTGATACCTATTGCTAAATAAAAGAACCCAGCATGAAAAGGCTCCATGCTGTAGGATTCTAACAGCATGACATTACAGAAATGACAAAAATATGAAGTCTAGAGAAAGAGAAATGGCTGCCTGGGATTGGAGATAAGTGAAATGGAGCCAAGAGAATTTCAGAGAGTAAAACTATTCTCCAAGACACTACACTAGACACAGATCATTATATACTTGTCAAGTCCAACAGAATGGGAATAAGAAAGGTGCAACTCAGTATCACAGTGCTTGCCTAGCATGTGCAGGATTCCACACCCAACAAAATAAGAACAAGCAATCCATAGCCCACACAATATAAGACCCATTGGTTCACCAATTGTAATAAATGAACACAAGAGATTGTTAATAGTGAAAATATGTGCCAGGAATCTTTATCTCTGTACTTCCCATTCAGCTTTTTTTCAGTTTTTCTTTTCTTTTCTCTTTCTTTTTTTGGTGCATAAAATCTGTTTGCATTATTTGTTATAATCACATATGATTATTATATGTGTTATATGTGTTTATATAACTCAAATACAAGGTTAAAGGGGAAAAACTTGTTTAGGGATGTAGACCAATACATACTCCTCTTTGCCCCCTCAAAACAAAAACAAAACCAAAGCAAACAAAAAATACAGCCTAATCCTATCCTATGTAGGGTCTCCTGACTTCTTCCACACCATTCTAAGACAGTAACAATGTAACAATAGAACTGAAAGTGATTTAACAATGATATTCTTTGTTTCCTTCTGGGGGACAGGGTGTCACGTATCCTAGTCTGGCTCCACACCCTCTACATGGCCAAGGATTGCCTCAAACTCCTGAGCTACAATTGCAGCCTTCTCCCTCTCTCTCTTTCTCCTTTCTTCTAGCTCTTCAGCCCTTCTTATCTTTCTTCATTTCCAAGGCAGTCTCACTATAAAAAAAAAAAATTATATAGCCCAGCGTGACCTCACATCCACAATAATCCTCCTGCTTCAGGATCTTGAGTGTTGGGATAAACCATTATCCACCACACCTAGCCAAATAAAATATCTCTAAAAAATATAAGCTCTTTGTTTTTTTTTAAGTGATTAAATCAAGTTTCCTTACTTCACTTTTCAATGAAAAGGGCTAAGGGCTGCAGCCTTACTCATCAGAAATGTCAACAAAGGCTGGCTATGATGGCTCAAGCCTACCATACCAGCATGTGGAAGAGACAGGGAGATTTCTGGGGATCTGAGGACATTCTGGGGGAGATCCTGTTTGAAAACATCAAAATTCCCAAAGTGTCAACAAGGAAACCTACACAGCATATAAAGCTGTCAGAACACTCTAAATACCTTCATAGCAAAAAAAAAAAAATTCCAAAACACAAACAACAACAACAAAAACCTTCAAACTATGGATTGTATCCCCATGGGTCCTTGTAACTAGCCCCAGATTTGGTAGTCACTAATAGGACTCACAGGAATGGAGATGCAATATAAAGTCATAATCTCAGATGGCATTTATTTCAGTGAAATGATACAAAGAAAAACCATCAAAGAGGAAAGGTGTGAAGGACCCATCTACAAGAAACTGTAATATAAGCCTCCAAGAGATTCCTTAGTAGTTTCACAAAGGATGCATAAAATTCCTTTCAGTAAGCTATAACAACCCAGCAAAAATAACTGCAAGGGGAGGTTCTTTAGAGACTGATTGATACCCTTAGGTTTTCATTGGGCCTGGTAAAACAGGCACTTATAGCACGTGCTATAATTCTAGACTGTCTGAGGAACAGGTATTTGAGAAAAGCCACACTGTCTGCACAGGCAACTTGTGCACAGAGAGCCACTATTATCATTTAGGGAACCATTTGCAGAAATACAGGGAACCAGTTGGGTTCCCAGTTGCCAGGCAAGGACAAACTCTTATTTTATAGGTCTCTTGTGAACAGACAGCATCACTTTGGAAATTATCTCTGAGTTCTCCTTGTCTGCTGCAGGTAATAAATTTTTCTCCACTCTCTGATGTCTTGGCCATGTTTTTTCTTTTTCTTTTCTTTTCCTTTGTTGTTGTTTTACCAGTCAAGATGTGAGCCTGCTGCATTTGATTACCCTCTCTCGTCATTCACTAGTCTTTTAGAGTAACATCAATTCTTGACAAATCTCTTCTCAAGACTATCTCATGCTTTTCAGCCTCAAGGCTACTAGCCTCATTTTAGGGCAATTTCTCCATTTCTGTTTGTTATATATTTTATCTTTTTTTTCAAATGATTATCTCAAATTGGAAAGGCAAGTTTCTTCCACAACAGGATTTCCTCCATCCAGACATAAGTCTTCACCTCCTCATTCCCCAGGTCCCTTAAGACTATTAGAGAAACATGCATTTTACAGTACAGAAAAAGCCTTGCTGCTATGAGATTAGTACACATTCTTATATAAAATCCCACCTAGAATGACAAGAAAATCATATTAGTGTCCCTTCTAGCCATGTTCATAATGATTTGGTAGCTATCTATTAAACAGTGGCTTGGAAGAACTGGAACCACTGCTAGTCTGATAGAAGCAATGGTCCTAGTGCAGTATTCCCTATCCCTACCAAAACAGGCAATGGAACACCACAGGGGGAAATGTCTGCTTCTCATATACCAAATACAATATTACTTTTTACCTATCCTCACATAGAATCTAGAATCACAGACTTGGAAACTCGAAATTGAAAGTGACACCTGAGATGTTTGCCTATCATTCTTCCACACAGTGGGAATGAAGCCAGGAATAGAGTTCCTTACTAAAGGAAGTTAGTGGAGGGACTGGCTCAAGACTCAGAGAGCCTGGGGCCCAGGCCTCGGGTATTCCCTGTGAATGTTTTCATGATGCCTGTTGAGCAACTTATGGAAAAAAAAATCTCACAATCAGAAATGACTAGTTTCTAAGGTCCAGCACAAAAAGGAAGCAGGGTTAGACTTTGTGAACATACCTCTAGTAACTGAGATTCTTTCTTTTTGGATGATAGATGTAAGTGCCGGTCCAGTAATGAGTAAAACCTCTCACCATCCTTTTCAAATTTCTTCTTCCTCTCCTAGACATAGAAGAGAAGCTTTGCATTAAATTTCTATAATTTAACACTATGGACTTAGAAATGAGAATGAAAGGTCCAGTTTCAGGTTTCTATGGTCAGTTCCTGCAACTCCTTGGAAGGAAAGAAAAACTATAGCCAGTGCAGAATCTGCTGTTTTGCACTGGTCTCAAGCAGGTTTGATCACCTCAAATACAACCATAAATCATTCTACCTGCACCAAAGACAGTACCTACTGGTAGAGCTGAAGCCTCTGCAAGTTCTTGCTCCAAAAATGCCACTCAAAGGGGCCCTCTGATGCTAAAACATCCTTACTTCCCTTTTGTGTTTTTCACATATGGTTAGCATTCGTTTGATCTTTTAAAAAGAAAACAAGAAATGCAAACATGGAATAAATATACCAAGGAACAGTGAATCTGTATGAATTCAAATGACCACAAACAGCCTGCATTCCAAGACAGTAGGAATCCAGGGCTACTTCTTGAAATGAATTCTTAAGGATTATTGAAGGATTCATGGATGCATATTACAAGCTGGCAGGAGTGAAATCCTGGAAGATTTAGATAGGAAAGATGCCTTCATAGCTAACTTTATGACAAGTGGAGGACCCAGGCCTTCACTCTCCTTGGGGGATGAAATGTAATTAACTTCTCAGCTGTGCAGTACAAGTCTAAGTCACAAAGCTCCTAATGAAACACTGACAATACACATTTGTCACAGACTCATTGTCGTGATTTTTTTCTCAGTTAGACAGGATCTCGGGTTATTTGGAAAGAGGCTTCTCAGTTGAGAAAATGCCTTCATCAGACTTCATGTCAACATGTCTGTGTGTCATTTTCTTGATTCATGGTTGATATAGGAGGACCTACCTTACTGTTAAGTGATACCACTCATGGAAGTGGTTTTGGAACGTCTATGAAAGCAGTACTTGACAGGCCATGAAGAGCAAGCCAGTAAGCAGCACTCCTTCATGGCTTCTACTTCAGTCACTGCCTCCAGGTTCCTGGCCTGAATTCCACCTTGGCTTCCCTGAGTGATGGACTACAATCTGTAAACCAAAAAATCCATTTCCTCCCCAAGTTGTTTTTGGTCCTTGTGTTTTATTACAACAATAGAAACCCTAACTAAGGCACAGAATGGAATCAGAGAGTGTCGTATGGCTGAGACAGACCTGAACAAGTTTTGGGGAAGACTGTGTAAGAACGTTTGGAACTTTGGCCTAGAAAAGCCACAGAGTGTTAGAGCTTAATGAACTATTGTGGTCATTTAGAAGAAATGCTGACGGCAGTGCCCTCAAGGAGTGTTTTCACTATGCTGACTTGGATGAGTTACCAATATAAAGGATTTCTTACTGATAAGAATTCGTTTATTTCTGACAAATGGTTGGTAACTTGAACATTTACAAGAGACTAGGATGGCTGTGAGTTAGCCCAATGACGGGATTATTGTAGGTCCACTTCCCAGGGGCCCACCCAATGCAGCCGAAAAGGAGTGCGTGGTGCTGGGAGTGGGTGCAGCCTACATGGCCTAAGACAGGGCTCTCACCCTCCTTTCACCCACATCAGAGTCCCTTGACGTTGCCCATCGTCGACAGCCTAAAGCCTTCGACCATCGATGTGACTCGTCTCACATCAGTGTTTTGGGGTTGTGAACTTGTCTAAGACCCCCCATAATTAGACATCCAAATTCAAAACTCACATAGTTGGGATTGAACATAAGACGCCTTCTCTAACTAAACAGAGAAGGGGGAGATGCCAGAAGCCAGGACCCTCGTCCTTACCCTTACCCCCTACCTTTCCCCACCTGCACAATGTCCTCTGAAGCTTGGCAACTGCAAGATCCTGCTTAGCAACTGCAGATAGACTCAAAGCAGTGTACCATATCATCTTAAGAATAGCAGGGAGACCATAACTCAAGCAGTGTACTATATCTTCTGAAGAACAGCAGGTAGATCATAATTCAAGGCAGTGTACCGTATAGACCATGACATGTTTCAAGGCACAGGCCAAGAAGATTTTGTACTTTTCCACCACCTGCCCCCTCTTACCCCCTCCCCTTGTAAAACATGCTATAAAAAAGCATTTCATGTTCAAAAAAAAAAAAAATTTAAAAAAAATTTTAATAAAAAAAAAGAAAAAAAAAGAATTCGTTTATTTTTTTAAGGTTGACTACTGGTGAACTCTAGTACTTTCAAATGAATGCTAGGATAAAAAAAATCAAACTAAATTTGAATTTAAAGATTAACTTGAGTTGAATTAACATCTGTAAAATATTAAGGCAAAATATTTGATAGCATGAAACATCAACATGCATTTAAATTTCTCCATACCATTACTAGAGTTTACTTTTTTTCATGTGATCTTAACTATTCCTGCTAAAAATAAAACTCTGCATATTTTAAAATATTTATTACTAATACAAAAGGTATCACTACTTAGATTGGTTAAATCTGGCAAATGTAGAAAATAATATTTTCTTTTTATAAATGACTCATAATTGACATGCTGTTGAAATTTCATATAAGTCAAATCAGATTATTAATGATAATATTTTTCTCATTAAGTCGTTACAACATCTGAAAAGCATAGCAATTTATATATTTCTTCCAAAATCAACATGTTACTTAATTTCCATTCTTAGAGCTCCAACCTTGCAGAATCTGGTTGAACAGTACCATCTTCTTCCCCATATAAGAGGAATATATTTAAAGTTTCTCTACTAAGGTATACTATACATTTTTATTGTACAATCATTACTGAGAAGAAGAATCATGAATTCCTCTTCTGTTCTAGATATACCAAGATAAATATATGATTTTTTTTTTCTTTATACGAATCATGAAGGGAATTCCATTGCTTGATTTCCTAGGATGATTTTGAGAGAGGGGTCTGAGATAAGTACTAGCTAATAATGATATATTTTTAAATTTTTTAAATTGGGGGGGGGTGTATGCACATGAGTACAGATGCCTACAGAGTCCAGAGGCATTGGATCCTTTAGAGTTAGAGTCATGGGCAGTTGTGAGCCACTTGATATGGGTGCTAGGTACTGAACTTGGGTCTTCTGGGACAGCATCAAACACTCTTGACCAGTGAGCTAACAAATCAAGCTCCCCATGATACATTTTTATTATTGTCAGATTCAGATAGCTAACATTTTATTTAGGGATTTTTGCATTTATGCTCATAAAAGTAATTTGTTTTCATTCTGATAGTTTACTTATCTTATTGTACCATTATAAAACCTTCCAGATAGTATTACTGTTTTATAAAAATGAAATCACCAAACCAGAGATACTAAGTTGCTTATCTAAGGACACCCTGCCATTATGAAGTAAAATAAACTACTTAAAATCTCTTTCCTTAAAACAAGCATTGACTATAGGACTCAATTTGTACACCATGAGAGAGATGGTGTCTTAATTAGGATCTCTATTGCTGCAATGAAACACCATGACCAAAAAACAAATTGGGGAGGAAAGAGTTTATTTGGCTTATACTTCCAACAACTGTTCATCATCAAAGGGAGTCAGGACAGGAATTCAAACAGGGCAGGAACCTGAAGACAGGAACTGATGCAGAGGCCATGGAGGGGGGATGTTTACTAGCTTACTTCCCCTGCCTTGCTCAGCCTGGTTTTTTTATAGAACCCAGGACCACTAGTCCAGGGTGGAACCACCCACAATGTGCTGGGTGCTCTTCCATCAATCACTCATTAAGACGATGCCCTACAGGCTTGCCTACAGCTTGTTCTTATGGAGGCATTTTCTTAATTCAACTTGCCTCCTCTCTGACAACCTTAGTTTGTATCAAGTTGTCATAAAACTATCTAGCATAGATGGTGACAGCCTTCTGTCTTTGTACAATGGGTGCTCAATACTTCTTGTTTTCTTCCTTCTACCTCATTGGCCAACTACAATTCAGCCTTCAAGATCCCACTCCTTTATGACAATGGGGTCTGTTCTAAATCTTGCTCAATTCCCCTATATCCTACTTGGGGCTTAGGAGTCCCTCCTCTAATCCCTCAGCATTGCATATATAAAATGATAACCTAAATCTGGTACAGTGGTACATACATCTAACTCTAGCACTCAAGAGACAGAACCAGAAAGATAGAGGCCAGTTTGGGTTATGTGAAACACTAGCACACAAAACCAAAAAAAAAAAAAAGTGAGCATGTGAGGAAGAATGGAAATTTGAAAAAATCAAAAATGAATAAATAGAAGGAAAAGAAAATAGGGAACAGGGATAAAAATAATTGCCATAAATGAGATTATAGAATTATATGCACTATATTAATATTTCATTCATATGCACAAAAACTGCTACACAAAACATAAGAACAACAAAGTAAATGGTACAGGCAAACTACAACTTCCCTTTTGTATTTGTAAGCATACTAGTTACACAAATTCTTTAATCTGGGTTAGACAAAATATAGTGAATAAGTTTGTGTCAAGCACTGGCACAGCTCTGAGAGAATCTAGCTAAGGCAAGGCCATTGGAACCAGCTTTCAAGGCCCTCAAACACCATCAAGGACTAGAAATCGACTGTAAAAGCCCTTTTTCCTTTCACTTTATAAAAATGAATGCTGACATTAAGCTGACAACATCCTTCATAAACAGTCAGAATAAATAAAACAGAAATCAGCTATGGAGAGTGCTCTTTCTTCTGTATTGGTTTGGTTTTGAGATAGAGCCTTGCTATGTAGCTCAGATGGGCCTTAAATTCCTCCTTCCTCAATCACCAGAATGCTTGGATTATGGCATGCACCACCATGTCTGGTAGACGTAGTTTCTTATATCATTATAGGTTCTATCTTCTTCAGTCATTCATTGTTTTATGTACCAAAGTGAATGCTGAAGAAAACATGTCTGAAAAAAATGTGTGAGTGACATGCACAGTTCCATCAAGAGAACTTTCTCTAAAGCAGCAGCTGGGTGAGGCACTTCAGGAGCATGACAAATGGCTTGAGAACACTGTGTCCAGGCAGGCAGAGCCAG